GCTGAATGGAGAGAGTTGTATGTCTGGAACTTGACGTCATCTCTAAAGAAGTATTTGTTACAGCCAAAAAGAACAGCATGTGATCTCTCCAAACAGAGCATTGGGAGGCAATGGTTGGCTCTAATTTTGCTCTGACATGCCTTCCAAGAGGTAAAGGAGAATGGGAGCCAGCTTCAGTTTTGCCTTTCTTTTTAATAATCCAGTGCTGTTGTGCATACAATCAAGCTATTGGCAAGTACTTCACTTCATTACAAATCATAAATTCGGAGGAGCAATTTAGAAAGAGTTCTGAGTAGGGAGGAATCCAGTCAGGAGTGTGCTAAAAGGAACTTTTCATAGGGAAAAGGGCTACAGGGCTGCCAGGCTCCTGCAATTCTCTGAATACGAAGAGCTCCTTTTCTCTTATTGATCCTTAAGATGAACTTTGAACAGGTATTGCAATGACACAAAATCATCATGGAATTTGCCAGGGTCCTTTTCCTCTACAATAATGAGCAGTACCATCAGGAAAGGTGCAAACTCTATCTTAGCAAAAGAAGTAAACCAGTAGTTCTTAGAGATCTGAATAACCAGATATATGGGATTGGTGGCACCAACTGATAATCCTGTGGCCATCAGTTTCAACCAACACCTGGCATTTTGGGAATGGAAAGCGCACGTTGCAGGAGGGGACCCTATTCAGCACTGAGAGGCGCACCCTCAACAGGAACTGTGGGAGGGCTGGTGCCTGGACACAGCTCCACACTGACCTGAACAATGCCGCTCAAGGCTTTGTCCCCATTGTTAGCTCCCAGACAAAGGTACGTTCCACACATCCCCTCTGATGGTCTCACAATGGTGGGCAACAAAAAAGACAGGGGCCGTTTCCGAGGCTGAATAAGATTTTGCTGCAGTTGAAGAAAAGACACCCAAAAACAATTCAGTCAAACTGACCAAAGTTTTCCTATTGCTCAGGTTACTGATGTTACCTTGTTTCTTTTTCCACTTGAGCCAACCGGATTCTAACCCTGTTGTTTTTTACAAGGCAACCGTTCTCACTGCTATGAAAATGTGTGCTGATGTTAACAGAAACAGTGGCAGTTTTCACGCCATGGCTCCCAAAGCCCTGTTACGGGGGGTATACAGAGAGCCATTCACCATTTCTAAAGTGCCATCCTTCCAAGGCAAAATGGCATGGTTTTTCAATGCATGGCAAGAAAGGGCAACAAGGCATCCCTGCAAGCCACTAGCAGCGGTCTGTAATTGTTACTTTCCAAGACATAAAGTTTTTTCTTCCACTGTCAATTATTTTTAAGCATGTAGAGCAATAAAACATAAACAGTCTTCTTAATTCAAGTCCACAGAGAAGGATGGTTACTTTGAAGTGCTGCTGGACTGCAGGAAGAATATAAACCTGAGAAGTGCAGCTGTATTATGCTGTTTGATTACACTGCGTTACGGTGATAACTGATACACATGAAGTCTTCTCTTTCATCTATTTTGGTGGCTCATATAATGAAAAAGCAGGAGCTTTTCTATAAGCAGTCCTCTCTAAGTTATTAATAAGGCATTAAATAGTCTCACTGTTGTGGAGATGAAAATAAAATTAATAAAAATAGTACAGACAATTCAAATAAAGAGTTTGTCATATTACTCATTACCAGCCTGGGAATTGAGTGGTTCATTGTTTTATTTTGCCAGGAGAAGTCCAACATCTGACTGTTCAGAAGGATTCCAGAGGGTGTTATTATTCCACTGCCAAACGGACGATTCAAGGAACTGAAAAGAAACATAAGGGAATTTCATCAAAATCCTCCCAGTGATTCACTGTACACCTCAAGGCTTTCAACGCTCTAATTTTCTGTCCCATATTGGCTTGACAGAGAGTTTTCAGCAGGTTTTTAGGGTTGGTCTCCATGCATTTAGGAGCAGGAACCATACGGGCCATAGCGGCACAGTCCTTGCCTCTGCTTAAGGATTCCCCTTTAGGTGATGAATTATGTTGGTCTCCATGTCCCAGTTAGTCCTCAAATTCAGCTATCACCTCTTCTCTCTGGAGCAGAGTCAGGCCACTCCAGAGATGTTTGCACTGTGCAAGGGCTGTGGGCAGAGCTGGTAAGATTGCATAGGCAGAGCAGCACCACAAGGCCTTTGCAGCTCACAAACCTCCACCCCATCTTCCCTATTCTTCCTGTTTCAGAACTCGCTCAGACATGGTAGCAGCTGCCTTTGCATTCCTGCCCCATGGGGAGCAGCTTGGGAAGGTGGGAGTGCTGCTGATGTAGCCCAGTGATTTTAAACCATTTTTACTTTAAAGATCAATACTAAATTTCCTCTGGAAGTGCAAATCTTGTCTAGAAAACACAACCTCTCACAATAATAAGCTTGTTTCTCTTACTTTTTGAGGCTCCTTGAGAAGCAAACCATGGATTGATCCTACAGGCTGAAAGCCACAGCCCTAGGCTAAGTTAATGCTGAGGGGGAAACCCCACACCTCACATCATTGAGCTCCAGATCTGGTCCCATGCTTTCATGCTGAATGTATGTTCTTTTCCATGCTCCCTCCCTCTGAACCTGTTAATGGAGAGAAGTAGTAAATCCTTTACCTTACAGCTGCAACAATGAAATCATCAGGTCCCATGACAAGGACCTGGCTAGCAGATGGTCCGCTCTCCACAGAGAAGTGAGGCATGCGGAGATCAGAAGAGAAGGACTGCGAGTCGTTAATCAGCTGACGCAGGGAATTAGCTTCTGATTTACTTCAGTGATGAGGGAGGGAAAGAGGAAAGAAAGCAATAAGCTTGGAAAGCTGAACATTTCTTGGTCTCTTGACCAGGGTACATCTACACAGCTACTGTAGCTCCCTGAGAGAGCTCATACTCCCTGAGGAGAGGGAGCTCCTCCGGATTATCAAATAGAAGGAAATGAGATGTCTCAGTCAGCACAAAGAGGGAATGCCATAGACCTCCCAGGCATTATCTGTGGTGAAGAACTCACCCCTGATAGACAAGAGGTGCTAGGACTTGGCTGAACGCTGGTCCTTCAGAGCGCAGAGGTGGGCAAGTTAAATCCAGCTCTGTGCCAGCAACCATGGCTAAAAATGGCTCTGAGGTAGAGACTGGGCTGAAATCCCAGGTCTGGCCTCTCCTATGCTGCTGGGTATATTATAAAGGCACCAAGCACCATTGCAGGTGTTGTGGAGAAAGAAAAGCAAGATACTGCAGTCACAGCCATGAACACATATTAGAGGAGTGAGAAAGTGGGACCCTCAAGATCAGGCTAGTTCCAGGAAACCTCTATGTGAGGAAATCCCCAGAGCCTCCTGAGGTCAGTTGTGATGCTTTGGAAGAGTGAGTCTTAGGAGGACCCTCAAGGACTGGTCTTTCCTCAGTAAAACAGAGGTAGAAAAAACCAAATTTTCCCTGTGCAAGGAAAAGAAGAAATCAAGGAATGATATCCAAACCACAGGTTCTTGCAACAGCGAATGTGCCTGTCAGCCTCAGACCTACCTCAGCATGCCTTCTGCTGCATGAGTGACGGACACATCATCAGATGGGTCTCCCAAGTTGCTAGCTAGACTCAGGGCTATTTTTAATGTCTAAATTGAACACAGAGAAAGAAAGAGCAACATTTAGGTGGCCCTGGAAATACCACTTTCTATTCTTCACATAGGAAAAGGTATCTGCTCTCCCAGCATGTTGGCTAAAGCCTATGAACCCCAAAATGTCTGAAAGCCTGGTTCTGGGAATACCTTAGTGAAAAGGGCTACCACGCATGGTATGGTGACACAAGGCCATCAGGTTTTGCATGGCCAACCGTGCTGGGGGTACCAAGTGCATCCAGCAGGATTTGTACATGTGCTGTCCAAGGTGAAACATACCTAACAATAATTGTCCAGCTGACTCAGCCCTGCTCAGTGGTTCAGCTGCATTGCCATCTGGGAAACAGGGTCACTAGAATCTTTTTCCATTCTCGAGTGCTCACCACAACGGCAGAAATCCCACTGAATCCCAATGGGAATGGATTTGCCATGCCTCCAGAACACAGCTCCAGTGGCATATTACCACAGCTGGGCAGAAAGACAAGATTCTCCTCACCAATCAATGTTACATCTATCTAAGCCGTAAGTCAGCCAAACGCTTTGAATAGAAAATGTTAGTCCCAGGACACTTTGGGGAAGGTACTTTAAAAAGAGGAAGGCACCTGGTTTCAGATCCTGCCGGATCCTCAGCCGGGCTGTTAAACAGTGGGAAAGAAGATGTGACATCAAGAGATACAGTTTATCCAGGCCTAGTTTTGGACTGAATAGCCAGATTTCACCAATGGCACACAGGGCATAGTGCAACATGACTGCCCAGACCGTGTGGAAATGTACATTTTGTTCCATCCCCTAATAGGTGGGATTTGACTCTGGTCGATGGGCAGCTTTGGGCCGGGACAGAGTTATGGGACATACCCAGAGGACAGCCATGAGAAGAAATGTGCTCTTCAATCAAAACAGCATGTGCGTAGTAGAAACACAGTAGACTCTTTCAGTTTTTAGTTCCTGCCATTTTCATTTAAGGTTCAAGTCAGCAAATAATCCTCCAGGTAGACAGCCAGACATGATTTCTGCTTTGATACGTGTCATGCATGAACAACCTCTCCTTAAATATCATCATTTATCTTCTGATGTGCAATTTAAGATATGATTAACTTCTGGAGAAGGTGGCCATTTCCATGAAACAGCTTCTGGCCACCATTAGTAGTGTGGGGAGGACGTACAAGAGGCTTGGTTTCTCCATGGAAACAGGCAGAGCTTGTGCACACCACACAAGCCCAAGTCATTGCTATCCCAGAGCTGAACTATTTGGTGTTGACCTTCTAGCACTAAATCTCATCCATGTGTTCAGGCTTGTGATCATGAGCAATCAAGATGAATTCTGCTTCTGAAGTGGCTGCCCCGTATCTGAAGGTTGCTACTGAAGGTTGCTATGCCTCAGCTGGTACATATTAACCAAATAGGGAAAGATCTTAGCCCAATGCAAACACAGAACACAACACATTAATTTAAGGCTTCCTGAAGAGGGTTCAACGAAAACGATTAGCAGAGTCAACTTTCTCGGCCTTTGCACAGCCCTAGGAGCAACTCTAGTTGCAACAACTCCAGTTGCCGTGTCTTTGCTGAGGGGCAGTAACTTACAGGCACCCACTGGCCCAGCTTCTACAGGGATGTGATCATATCCTTGCTTTAAATTTCTAGCTCTTAAAACCCGACTGTGGACCCATTAATGTCTAACAACATAACTGCTTATAGAGCAGGAAACTGAGCACTTGCCTGTCTTCCTAGAAACTTGTATTGTTTTGGTAGGGCTGTTTACTGGCAGCCTTAAATAGTGCATAAACCATGATCTGGACCCCTGAGATCATGAAGTTAGCAAAAATGTAAAGATTAAAAAAATGTATAAAGTGGCGGATTAGTTTTCCTTGTCATTTCCATTTTTGGCTTTTTGGCTGCAAGCAGCACCACATTGCTGACTCTCCTGCCAGGGCCCTCACAGTGCTCTAGTTCTTCCAGGGCTGCCATGGCGTAAGAGGCAGAGGAAATAGGTAGGACTGTCCTCAGCTGCTGTGGGATCATTCTGTAGAGATGACCACATATAAGATATGGACAAAAGGCACAGCTCTTTCTTCCTGAAAGAGCTCTGCTTAAGCAAGAAAGAGACCAGCTAGGGAGGAGACTCCAGCATCTGCACATACCTGAGGCAGCAGCACAGCTCAGATTTACACCTTAGCAGTCTGTTTGCTCATTCTCCTCTGGGAATTGACTACAAACATTTTTGTACAACCAACGAATCAATAAATTCTCTAGCAGCACAACAAATTCAGCCAAATGTTTAACCTAGTCTTACCTCTGCCATCCAGTGCAAGATATTCCCCCTCGATTCTTGATTTGTGATGTTAAAGCCCTCAAGGATATTCAGAGCTGTGATTAGTGCAGGGCCTGCATGTGGAGGTGGGGGACTGAAAACAAGATGACCTGTGAAGGGAAGAAGAGGAGAGTGAAGCTGCTTTTGTCGGATGCTGTTCAATTATAATATTTGCACATAAGCTATTGTCCTTGAGGACGTGGAAACCATCCCATACTAGGGGGATAATGGAAAACAATATGATTTGAAAAGGATTTCCCAAAACCTTCATATTGCATCATTCTGTTTGTTTATGACGGATAAAGGAAGCCCAAATGGGGGCTGTTTTTTGGTATCTGAAATTCAGAACTTGTTGGTTGGCTGGTTGGTTTCTGGACTGCAGTATGGATGAATGGAGATCAAATGGATTTGTAACATTACAGGTATCAGGAGTGTGAATACAGCAGTTTCTATACAAGAATGACATTTTTAAAACTTTCTGCATAAAGCAGGTTTTTCTCCTTTGCAGATTAGCTTTGAGAGCTGCCTGCAGATGTAGGCACTAGTCTATGGTTCAATTTATATCTAGATATTGTATCAGCATTTTTTAATGTTGCATCTTTAGAGAGTAATGTTATAGCAAAACACCATCAGTCACTGTCAAGGGCAAAAAAGGCCCATTTCAAGTGCTGAAAACCTCCCTAAGTGACTATGGTGCATCATGTCAACAGGAAATAGCAAGAAAGTCACTGGAGGGCTCTTCAGCAAACACTGTTACAGACCTCAGCTCAACTTTTAGCTTGTTAGGTACTGCTCAGAGTGCAGCACTTCCTTGTTAGGTACTGCTACCACCTCCTGCCAGATGAAGCAAACCTGTACCTGGAGCTGCACGGCAGTGGGTCAGGCAACACTGTTTACCTCGATATACTGTGTGGACTGGATTCTCCACCATGACACTGTAATTACTGAAGTCTTCCTCCATCAAGACTCCTCCATAGTTGCGGACCTAAATAGGAGCGCAAAGCAGATCACGCTGAGAAAGCTGGATCAAGGCATTCCTCCTGCCAGCCCAGGTGAATAATTACTGTGTTATTAAACGTATACCTTTGAGATTCCTGAGTGCTGAGGACTTCCAGCATAATCAAAGTGGCCAGTTCTTTAAAAATCTGTGCTTTCGTGACTCAAAGCCTTGGAGGCCTGGCTCACTAGCACTGTCAAGAGCTGCAGATTACCTCTGAAAGCTCACCCACACCACAGGTGTCCTGAAGAAGTTTTGCCTACCCATAAGGATGGAAAATAGCACTGCCTCGCAGCCTTCTCTCCTGGTGGGTGGCAAGGATGAGTATATTAAAAGTTATGAAGCATATTGACAAGAATATTGACAAGATAAAACGTACTATGGATACAGGAGAGAAGAACCATGGATGTAGTAGGTCCCCCTATCACTGAAATCTTCAGCTCAGATTCCAACCCTATTTTTAAGGATTTCAGCTGAAGGAGGTCTAATATACCATTGGTCTTTCTGTAAGACTTTCCTAGAGGCATAATTTACTGGGCTTGATAATTTTCATGTACACAGTAAAGATGCACATCTTCTGTGGCTGAGTCCTAATGGAGATGAAGTAGGGACCATCATAACTGTGCTTTGCTGGCCTTAAAACCCCTGAAGTAGATGTCAGATGACCGCTCTGTCAGCTTACAGGTGCTACCATCCTGGTGGGCCAACTCTTTTCTTTCACCCAGGAGAAACCATACAGAGGCCAATGAGATATTCTGGTGGGTTGAACTGCTACTGTTAGTCCTCTGGACTTCCATCCAAAAATGGGAAAGAGCAAATAACCTTTGCATGTTCTGATTTCCAAACTAACCAGCTAACTTAGCAAGAAAACACCTTCTCTGGCAGAAAATGATGAAACACACGAGCAGGAAAGCTAATGCATTAATATGGAGGGCACATCATCAGGGGGGAGTCAGGCATGGTGCCTGTGTGCTGAAGCACTTTAGAGCATCAGATTCAATGCCTGTTTCAGTGTGCCAAATAATCTCAAAACTGCAAAAGGCCCCTACTTGGGATCCCTTCTCTCTTCTGAAAGCAATCTCAGGGAAAAGTCCTGGGTGAACACTACAGCTGAAATCAGCAGGCAGGTGCCCATGTCAGAGGAACTGGCTCCCTGGAGCTGTGCCAGTGGAAAGCCTGAATGAAGCAGCTGGGAGTGGGGCAGGAGGAGTCTGAAGGTACAGAAGGGGGAGAAGCCTCTGTCAACCACACACTGCAGACACTGTCTCATATTCCCTGAACAGTACTTTTTTGCACCTGTGCCTTCCCATCTCAGGATGGAAAGAAAGAGTAAGGTGTTTGGAGATTTACATGATTTCACCACTTTAATTTTCCTCCCTTTCCTTTTCCTTTGTTCCTGCCGGAACAAAACACACTGTGAAGCTGATGTGGGAAGCCAGAGAGTAAACCCTGCTCTGCAACCATACCTATAATTGTGCACTCCACCAGCTTGCCAGCGTCCTTTTTGTTACAATACCATGCCTTTCTCCTCCATAGACAGCTTGTTCCCCCTGACATACAGCCCTCAGGTTGGGGGGACTGAGTTATAGTTAGGGATTTAGCTGTGAAGGTAGATACACTACAAGCTTGGGACTTTTCCCCAGGATGACTTTGAACTACTGCTGTGCAAACAGCAACTTTTCACATGTCTGATGGTGCTTCAGGGGTGCTTGTAAAATAAATATTATCATTGGAAGAACATAATGTTTCCAGTCCTAAGGCAGGGCTCTGTATTCAGCAGTGAAGTCTGGACATGTGACCCTTAAGAACAAAGTGGTATTTGGACGGAGCCTCTTTCCACCTTCGCTCCTGTTCCTCGTTCTCCAGTTATGTTGTGGTGCAGGTGAATTGCAGGAGCTTACATATATCTAAAACTTCAGCCAAATGAGCCCATTTGGATTACTTTCGATGCGTTAAAGATGCATCAGGTTAACCAAGGTAGTAGGGGAAAATGGTGCCACCAACCACTGCGACTGTAGCTACACAGGTATAAAAGTAGTTTTCCAGCATAACTTATATGCAATGGGACTTAGCATGCTAATAAACATTCCTGCCACAGCCACTGTGGTTTTTTTTATCAGTAGACAGTAGTTTTTTTTTTTTACTAGAACATTTTCTTTGTTGTTATTATTTTTTCCAGACCACCCCTAACAACAGGAGTTAAACCAGGGCAACACTCAGTGAGACCAAGCCAGTCTGATCCTCTGCTCACAAGGCTCACAGTGACAGATGCCCAAAATTAGACCATGCTCCAACCTCCTGATGTCAGTGGAGCATGGTGGCACATGTGAAACTAGGCGCTGTGAATGAGAGATGATTTTTGCTGCCTAGAGTGTACACGATGTGCCCGTGACAATGCAAAGAAGCTGCATTGAGGCAGACTCTCATTCCTCTTTAAGTCTCTGGCCAGAAAGTAATCTCTCTCCGTGTCAATCACTCAGGACTACAGGAGCCTCCTGAAACCTCAGGGCTGATGCAAGAGTGCCAGTGAGCACAGGCTAGTGCCGACACCGTTTTGAGGAGTGAATTACACAAAGCGTGCCAGTGATCTCTGGGGATGCTTTGGCAGCCAAACCCTGGCTGTCATGCTTTTCTTCATTAAAAAGAGGCCTCAAGGACAAGGAGGTGGTAATAAACTTTCACCTCAACGGCCCTGGATCAAAGACACCTGGCATGAAACCCGCCTTTGCTTCTGGTGTACTTGGTGACTGATATATCTGTACACAAATCAATCGCATGCATGACATATTGGCAGGGAGGGAGCTGAGTAGGTGGTGGAGGGTAGATCACTGGGGATGGTCCCAATGGCCAGTGGAAAAGGCAGGTTGGCTGGAAAGGAGGGAGAAAAGACCTGCAGTGACACTGCAAACGTTAAAGCTGGTTTCGTCACCAAAGCAGGACTGTTCATGGGGGTTTCCATCACGTAAGCTCTCTCAGAAATTTGAAATAACTTCACTACTTATGGAGCTGTCCTATAAAGCGCAACAGTGATGAGGCCCACGGGCTGAAATGACTCGAAAGCCTATACCATTTAATAGAGAGGGAGCATTTATTTAATCTAGAAGGCAGTGAACTTCTTACTCCAGTTTTATTTTTAAATCATCTTCCTGGAGTATGTAACTCACACAATCCCATTAACAACAAAAAAAACTGCTTCCCACCAATTGGGTGCCTCTCCTATGAGGAAGCAAGGGCTGTCATTAATGCTACCTTGACACCGCCCAGAGGGTATTTTGAAATTGAGATTTTTTTTTTCCCCATCAAAAAGGTCAATCTGTCCTCCTTATACAGGAAAACACAGGTTTCCTTTCTGTAGGCTGTAGAAATGACCTGTGTATCACTTACACCACTGCAGTGACATGGACAGGAGGAAAAAAGGAGGCTACGTGTATTTGTCCCTATTGTTGAAGTGGCACCTGGCTATGGCTTGTCTCCAGTTGCCTATCCCATTTTAAGCAGGTGATAAGGCAGGTGGCACCTTCCTAGGCTGTTCTGTGCTGTGCCATAGTCAGGGGCAGAGATAAGGACAGATATGGCTCACCTCAGAGACTACCTCCTGTGTCAAATTTCCACTGTAGAAAGCTGATGCTCCTTCTGTTCCCACCAGCTCCAGAGTGGCTGCTAGGTCCAGTCGCCTCACGAACATGCCAGGCAGTAAGGGCTGGCCGTCTGGCAGGAAGGTGTCCCGAAATTTGTCAGAGTAGTTCAAGTCCTTCAGTTCACTTACAGCTTTGGCTGCAGGCAAGAAGGAAAAGAGCAGTATTTAAGGGAAGTGAGGAAAGACATCCAGACAACCCAAGGGACCGCTAACTTGCAGACTACCTGGAGTCATTGTGTGCCTGAGGGGGAGGTCTGGGAGTTGCTGCTAGCTATTACCCTGTTTCAAAACTAGAGACCCAGATCACAGGGTGGCTGGATTGTGCTCCTGTTACAGCTGGGAAGGAAACCAAACGCTCAGCTCCCTGTTCAGCTCATGTATTGAATACATTTAAAGCCTGACTGGGCAGAGAGTGCAGAAAAGTGGGAACAAAGGTCTCCTCCAGTGTCATGTAGGCTTTAGCAGACCCAGCATGCCAGCCCTCGCCTCTCGTCCCAGCTTAGTGCTAGAGGCTGTGGCCACAACAGTAGAGTGCCATTCCCCTGGCTAGCCCTGGCTGGCTGCCTGGCTTGGTCTGCTGAGCCCTGGCCCCAACCAGCTCTTGGAAAGGGCTCCTGTTTTCTTGTCATCATGGTCTCCTCTTGCCTTGCTCAGCTCCTGACACCATCTGTTTCCAGATCCGAAGAGCCCTAATTTCCAGCAAATGGCCATCCACCTCCTGCCAGACATGTCACTAGCTCTCTTCTCCCTCTTCAGCGCAATGGGCAGTGGGCTTCTTTGTGCTGAGTAAGAACCCTTGGCTCCCCTCCATTTACTCACCCAAATCGTGTGTTACATTGAACCCACCCTGGGCGACACCAGCCACAAGGCCCAGCAGCTCAGACCACGGGAGTCTGCCAAAGGAGAAAACACAAGGAGAAATCTGTCTTCAGGGGACATGCAGCAGGGCAGCACCGGTTGTGGGAAGCAAGCACAGGGCTCGGCTCTGCTGCAAGTGGGCGCTTGCAACACCAGGCTGTGGGGCCAGCAGCAGCCTGGACCACCAAAATGAGCACTGAGTTTTTTGGTGGGTTATTTCTTTTCACTAAGATCATCTCAGTGATCCACAATGTGCCCCACAGAGAAGCGTCAGTAAAATGACAGGGGAGAGGGTCGTCTCTGAAGCAAAATTTCAGTTGAGACCACAACCCTAAGCAAGGCATTAAAACTCTCCCTCTCACTTGTTAGAAAATGTTTGCAAACATTTTTGCTTTTTGGATAAAAATCAAAGCTGAAAATTATCACTTTTTAAGCAGTGATTCACTTTTCAGATATAATGAACTTCCTTTTCTTACTGAAGATGAGAAGGAAAAAAGAGAATGAGAGAGAAAGAAGGAAACCCTCTATTTTAGGTATTCTTCACTTCTCAATTCATTAGTGAAAACTTACAAAACCTGACAAAACCAAATTCTTTATTTTAAATAAAATAACAAAAAAAGAACATATTTTTCATGTCCAAGCACCCCTTAGCTAATGGTTGTAACAGATAGATGGGTCTGTGGCCCAATGGCAAGGGGTCCTGTCATCCCAGCTCCCTCGCAAGGACCATAGGGTGCAAAACTGTCCAACCACTGTAGCATGATGCCAGCCCACCTGCACCAGTCAAGTTGTCTTACCTCCCATATAACTGGTGTGCCTGATGCATTCCTTGTATCATGCCTGGCACCCCCACAAGGAGACCTGGCTGTAAAAAAGCAAGGACAAAAAGGAAGAGTAAAATTTCCTTCCTGTAAGGACATGTTCCCCAATTGCAAGTCAAAGAATTGACAGAAAGGAGATGCAAGTCATGCTCACAGGGAAGATGCTTGCATGGTCTTTAGGAGAAGGGAAGAGACCGAGGTCTGTGGTAACACACTCAATTAAGGAATAAAGGTCTTTGGAAGGAAAGAGAAGTAAATTTATTCCTAATGTCAAGCCAATGAAATCAGGAGAAATAACTCAGCGGAACAGCACAAGACTTTTGCTCACTCCTAAGACTCTTACTCTTCTGTCATCTCACTGCTGCAGGGAGATGTTTTACTCACTTCCCTTGCCCCACTGGGCATGTTTACTCCCCAGAGCCCTGCAGGCTTCAGGCATTTCAGAAGTCTCGCAGGAGTATTTCCCTGGGGCTCCTCAGGGCCTAGGATCTTTCACCACAGGAGATGCCTCTTGCTACCTGTGGGAAACGTGAGGATGAGGTGTCCTCTCATCTCCTAGCGCACTACACATATCCTCCCACATTAGAGGAGATGTGGCTCAGCCTGCCTGGCTGTGAGGAGGATGGGCACAAGGCAGTCTGACCTGTGCTGACGTCTGCCCTAGGAACGGTGACTTCTGGCTCTGGGCTCCCTCAACTAATTGCTTCCCCCAGGCCTCTCCTCCCCTCAGTCTGGGAATCAAGGTGGAAGGAGGACATGGAGAGAGAGGAGACCTGGAGACACCAGCCAGCTACAGCTCCAGAGAAGAAAACCATCCAGACGCTGGTCCTCACCCTGGTGTCTAAGGCTTTCTGCAGGCCTTCCTCCTCTGGGATGCCCAGGGGAGCCACCTCACGAAAATCAATCACCTTGCTCTTGTTCTTCCGGATGTCATGGACCAGCATCACCCCGCCCCTGCAGAGAAATGGTGGGATTAGCCAACCTCCACATGAATAGCCATTGCTAATATAAAACCCAAAAGAACACAGGCCCTGCCAGCACCAGCACAAAGGGGGCCAATGTAGCAAGTCGGTCAGCTGCCTTCAGAAATCCAGGACTCACAGCGCAGTAGGAAAGAAAGGCCATGGTGCCCATCCTGGCTGCCTTCCTGCATGGCACAGGCTGTTGGGTTCAATGCCTGGTTCCTGCCTGGCATCATGGCAAGCCATAGGTGTTACCTCGGGAGAAGAGCCCTTCCTGGATGCTCTCTGCACAGGAGTGGCTCAGAGCTGCGCCAGGACATCAGCAGTGTAAGGGGGAACGTTTCTGCCCTTTTTCAGGTCCTGGGTGCTTCCAGAGTGGTGAAGGGAGCTCTTCAGGATGACCAAGTGAGGCCCAATGTCTGAAGCAGGCTGTCCATGGGGCTGAGTCAGGAAATGAGGCTGGATCAGTTCCTGCCACCCTGGCCAGCGGGGTCTGTTCTGCTTTGGGGCTGGCAGTAGGTGGGATTTTCTTTCTAATCCTAGCAATTTTGCAACAAAATGGAGGAGCTGCTTACAATAGAACAATCTCCAGGTCAGCTTGGAGATGCTATCAGGTGGCAGTGTTTTATGCAACACTCCTGAGACTTCCTGGAGGGCTGAGAGTGTGAATCTCACGTGGTTCCCAGCCCAGGAGACAAGCACTGGGAAGAAGCAGGGAGCCTAGGCTGAGGGCTCACCAGCCCCAAACTGTCCTTATCCAAGCCTTCCTATGCACGCCTCCCTCACCTTCCCCAGCTCCAGCCCAGAGCCAGGGTCAGACCTCACTCTTCTGTTGCACAAGGAGCAGAGTTTGTAGAGGAAACCATCTGATCTCTGACAACACTGGGACTGTGCCTGGGGTGTTTCAAGCTCCCTGGCACACCTGCACAGAGTTTCAGGTAGCCTGCGGTCACTTTTTCTACTCTCTCAAGTCCAAGGCTCAGATTAGCTTGTTGCTCACTAAAGCAGGCACATGATTATGCTCGCTGGGGCTAGGCTATGTGTCTCTCTCCTCTGCTGTCAGCTCTGGTTCAGCCTCTGCTGATTGGTGACTGGAGGCTTCCTCACACCATTAAGGAGGATGTGAAGGCACAAGCAGCAGCTGCACAGGGCCACCCCTGTATGGACACAGTTGTAGATGTGAGTCAGGATAGCCACAGCTGCCATGGAGACAAACCAAAGCAGGGGAGAAGGTTTCTGCTGAGCTGAGGCTCACCTGCCCTCCTTCTGTGGGGGCTGGACTTGCTGCAAACACATCCTGCAAACTGGGACTCAGACTAACAGAACTCGGCACATCTCAGCTCATAGGGAAACAGCCTGCTTGAGGACAACCGCACACAACAACATGAGGCGTCGGCGATACATGGGGGAAGCAGCTAATACCTACCCGCCGATCCCTGATGTGTGGGGGTTGACTATTCCCACGCAGAGGGCCGAGGCGATGGCTGCATCTACTGAGGAGCCCTGCTTGTTGAGCACTTCTATCCCCAGGGCCGTGCAGCGGGCAGCGTCCGTGACCACAGCACCCCGGTGGAAGATCTGCCAGAAGAGGAGAGAAGGGTGCTTACGCCTGAGGAGAAGGTGCCAGTGCCACCCAGGTGTTAGCCTGGGTCCATGGGATGATTCAGGTGCTATAGTTGATGTAGCAGTAGTTACGTGGCCAGCTGCTTGGCTCCTATTTGCCAGAGCCAAGGCTGTGCCTGGCCTGAGTTTTCAGTTACTTCCACATGTGAGTGGAAGCAACATATGCCTTGGCACACATCTACACCGGGACAACTGTGGCCACTCTGTGTGTCAGCATTTGACCATAGTTATCAGCACAACTGACTTTCATAGGATGGGCAGCAGCAGGCATGCTAAGCTGATTGGCCATGTTCTGCCCCTATCCTCCACAACCCTCAGGAGTGACAGAGGGATGGCTTGACCTCCTTACAGCTGTGGCAATGCAGTCACTGGAAACAGGAATACACTTGTGCAACTGCTAAAAGCGACAGTCCCACCTCCCTACCGTAGTGCCATGACTCGTTCTTGTCCTCTGTCTTTGTGCCAGCACCAGTGTTCATGCAGTTGCATGAAGTTAAAAGAGGTTCATTTTCAGTCAAATTGATTCTCAAGTCCGAATTGCTGACTCTTAGCATGAGCCAGGTGGCTTTGGGAAGTGCTAAAACGGAAGGGACTTGGTAGGCTGGTGGGCAGGACTGTCCCTCCCAATAGCTGCATCAAAGGGACTGCATCACACAGCCTCCATTTGTCCCTGGCATTATAACGCTGAGTACTCTCAACTGCCCCAAACAGACAGGCAAAAGGACAAGCCACTCCACTGCCAGCAGTTGCACTTGCATCCCAGTAAGAGAAGAAATAATTAAAACAGCAAAGCCCTCTCTTTCTCTCTCCGAACGGCGAGGTCTGCCCTGCTGGCTGGCATGTGGTGAAAACAACTGTGTCTACTGGATGCCCCCTTACCATTCTCAGGCTACACTACTTCACAGGAAATGTTCTGTAGCATATGTCGTCTAAGGAAAGTATGGTCCCATTACCATGCTGCCTTTGCTCTGCAACTTAGCACTGGCCCGTGGGGAGGATTAGCAGTAGGTTCTGCTCCATTTTCAGACATTCCCCTGCCTGATCCTAGGTGGAAATAGATACTTCCAGAGATGGGCTCTAACAGACAGATCCATAAAACTTCCTGCAAGTGGAGATATACAAAAGATGTCTCCTCCTTAAGTGAGAGTTGGTCTCTGGAAACCTTCACATCTGGTTCAAACCCCAGCGGGTCTCTGCGGTCCATCCTGCACCACCTCCCAACCTGCCAGGCACTGCTGCTCGCAGCCCCAGCCACGGTGCGGGAGCAGAGAGCCCAGCATGGCTCTTCTATTTTCAGAGCCAAAGCACAAAGCACACTGCAAAGCTACTGTATTGTCTTACCTGTGGATCTCCAAAATAGATCTGCATGATCAAGGCCACTGTGACCCCTGTGGCAAAGGTTAGGCAGGCAGTGATGATGACAGTTAGCCCATCCTGCCGGCAGCTACAGTCCCCGGAGAAGGGGTCTTTGCTGGTCTCGCGGAGAGGGGACACATCCTGGCTGCCCATCTCCGAGGAAGATGAGGGCAGGCGCTGGAGGCGAGCAGACTTCAGGAAGGAGTCTGGATCTTTGTGGGCAGCAGGGAAAAAACAAATGTTAGTTTATTGAGCAACACAGGGTTCTTATTGCAGTGTTTACCCAGCACTAACGTTACACTGTGCCGCTTCCAGTAAGGCTATTACCTTTCCTATTGATCTAAGCTCTCAATAGATTTTCTGGCTCAGATGCTGCTCTGGGTCATTTTACTGTTCCCTTCCTTTGGTGTTAGTTATTCCAAGATTACTTTTCCCTGGAGAAGGGGTAAGCAATTCTGAATTCTGCTCCATTTCAGTTAATTCATCAGCCCTCAGCAATGGACCCACAATTACTGCTCCTTTTGGATTGTTTCTTACACAGAATTGACTTGCTAACAGGTCTCAGAAATGGAGCAGAAATGAAGAAGAGGAGATTAAGATTAAAAAAACCCAGCAGCCTTATTTGGAGCTATGCTTGAGCTGAAGCACCTGAGCGAAACAGACTCCAAGCAGAACATGTGGCACAGGCACAGGAAACACCTTTATCGAAGCATGACAAAGTGGGGGCAGAGGAGAGCAAACTTGCAAACTGGAGAGTCTCAGGAGGTCCACCAGATCTTACAGCAGGAAAGGCTCCGTTTTAATTTTTCCCCTCCTCCAACTGACAAGACCCACTGTGAAAGGAAGCTGCTTGCTGAACTGCCAGGCAAATGCAACAGGAGGGAGTCTTGACCTCCCAATGCCTGGCATCCGCTGGACAGCAAGCAGATTCAGTGTGACTAAAAAGTCTCTGTTTTACTCAACAGATCTCAAATCTCTCTGCTTGTTTCAGCTCTTGCTTTCAAGGCAGAGAGGGTGCCTGCTTAGCATGCACTGTCCGCACAGGGGTGATGCCAAGCACATGATGTTGCTGGAGCCAGCCCTAGGGCCCAAGGCTGGGTGCAGCAGGCTGCTGGTGGGGACGTGCCCATCCCTGCTGGGCACCAAACAAGACTGAGTGACTCAGGGCAGCTGGGAGCTCCTGGCTGAACTTCTCCCGGGCTCCTGAGAGCCAGCTGGCCCTCCTCAAGGACAGGCCATTCCCATTGCCCAAGCGCTGCAGTGCTCCGTGCATCCATGGTGGGAAGAAGAGGGGCACTGAGTGGGCGGCTATTACTTTACGGGGAAAAGACAATGCAGGAAGGACTACTCCCTCATGGACACAGATTGGAAATGCTGAACGGTTTTGTGTCTACAGGCTAATCCTGCGTGCATGGTCAGGGGAGACTGTGAACTCCCTGGGATGGGCCCCTCTTGCAGTAGGGCTGGGACCCAAACCTGGACCTCCTGGGGCTTTGGCTGTAAAAGGTGAGGTCTGACCGTCCAACTGCCAGCTTCCTGCCCAGCCAGCAGACACCCTGAACAGAGATGAGGAAAGGGCTGCAGCTCTCACAGCCCCAACATGCATGCTCAGGGCAGCAGGGACACCTGCTGTTTGCAGTGCCTGTCCTGGGGCTGCCCCTCTGCTAAGGAGACATTTTCTGGGTTTGGTGTAAGCGGCGACTGAGCGAGCAGAAGCGGGTGGAAAGCCCCACAGCCCCGATAACCCCCCTTGCCTCTCTCAATCTCCTCCAGCAGGCAGCATCTCCTGGGGGACTGCCAGCCATGTCCTTGTCATGACGTTAAAAACCCTGAAGTCCAGCTCAGACCCTGTGCAGTTCCCCTAGAGCCAGGCAGGGAGTTAGTTTTAATTTCGGTGATGCTGCAACTTGAAGTAAATCCCCCACAGTCGGGGAATCCCCTTAAATTGAATCCAATCTCATCCATGCTGCAGTGATTCAAGAGTGGGCCTGAGAAGAGCTCAACTTTCCCAGCCTGGACCTCTGAGCACAGCAGCGCTCAGCACACCCGGAGCCTTTCACAGTACGGTCAGGTCTGAATGAGTGAGGCCTGCAGGGTGTTTGCACAGTGCGGGGAAGCCCAGGCCCATCGGAGGTTTGTGAGCTGGGGTGTCTCCAGTGAGGGCCATGACTGCACTGGCATGGGATGCCCTCGGCCAAGGGGGTCATGCGTAGTCCCTGACACTCACTGGTGGGGGCACATTTCTCCTTCCAGTTCCACCAGCAGTAGGGAAAATAGAGTGAGAACTGGCCTGGCCTCCTTCACCAACCTCTCCAGGACAGCATCCGTCTGCTCTGCCTCAGGCTCTCATAGCACCAGGCAACAGCAGGGCAGTCCAGCGTGTCCTTGGGGTCCTGGGCTGATCTTTGACCACCCAGAGAGCAGCCATGGGAGAGGGGAAGAAAGGACAGGCCGCTGCCCCCTAAGAAGGCTGCCCACTGCCAGCAGGGAAGCCTTGCATTGCCCTTCCTTCTCTGACACAGACTTCCTGCAAGGCCTTGGGCAAGTCGCTTAGTCTCTTTGCGGCCACTCACACTATACGGGAAACAGGAGCACTGCTGTGATTCTCAGAGTGGCACTGATGGCCTAGAGCATGGAGGGCAAGGAGTAGGCTGCTACACCAACATCCGGATGCCTGTGCCAGGCACCACAATTCACCCTTCTCCCTTGAAAGAAAAGTCACCAAACGCTACTTGACTTCCGTGCGTGGCCAGGAAGGAAACCTGGTTTCATGTGGAAAGTGGCACTTTGAGGAACCAGGGTCACCTCAGCACTTTAAATGCTGTGAGGGGACGGCAGAGCGACTGGAGCTGCTTGCAGGCTCAGGAAGATGCTGCTATCTGGGACCATTCAGGAGGCTTCTCCTCAGAACCAAGAGCACTAGAATGGAGTCCTCTTTTTAGTGAAATCTTCCATGCGGCAGGAAACAGGTCCAGATTCCCACCCCTTTTGGTTTGGCAGATAATGTGGCATGAAGAAGCACGGAGAGCTTTTGCAACAGACACATAATGTCGTATTAATGTGAATTTCTAAGTGACACGTGGTATCACAGGAGAGAGGAAGCTCTTTGAACCATCCCAAATGTGGGCACGTAGGGAGATTGCATGATTGAGCACACAGACCTGAAAACCCTCATGCCCCAGCAGGATACCTGCACATCCAAAGCAGCATAGAACTCTGCTTGTGCTTCATATGAGATATGAGAGGCCTCATGCTTTTGAAAGAGCTGTTTCTGCAAAACCACGTCACGAGGGGGATTCGCTTTCCTGGCTCCGGTCATGAAGGAGTGCTGGAATGGAACAGGATGAAAATGGATGATGGAAACTTTTAGTCAGAATAGCGTGAGGTGAAGGACAAGGTGCAAGTGGGACCTGTTCAAATACAGGCTTTGGGCTTGGAGGGTCTCCTGGCCAGAGATATGCCTGGAGGCTATAAAGCAGCCGCTGGGGAGCTGCATGCTTTCGATCTCAGACTGCGGAGCCATCGGTCCGCAGAACCAAACCTTGCTCCTTTGGCAGAGAGGCTGGAGCAAAAGCAGGGCCCTGGCATCCATCACCACCGTGGAAGGAGAAATAGGCCTTTGGACAAATTAGTTCTTGTGGCAGTGAATTACAATCAACAGTCTTACACTAGTATAACTTACAGGCTGTTAAAAGTATAAGGTTCAGTTTCGCATCATGATGGGTTCCTGGGCTATTTGAACATGGGGAAAGGCTAAATTACTTGAGAAAACTCAAAGTGGAGAGGAGAAAAACATAGCTCTGAACTATTTACAAAGAAATGTTAATTAAAAACAGGCAGTTAAAAGGAACATCTGATTTTATTAAAGCTGTATATTTGACAGGAAAGATCACTAGGTCTTTGCAAAACCTCCTTGTATCTGCAGCTAGTACCCAAATTCCAGATCAGCTTCAGCGTCTGTGATTCCTGCCACATCCCAGCAAATTAAGAGGGTTTAGGCAGGGAAATAAGGATGTGGGATTCCAGCAAACTCCTGTTGAATGAATAAGGCACCAAGGCTAAGAAGATGGTACCACTCAGATCCACTGGAGCATGTGGCCAAGACAGACAGATGAGCAGCACTGCATGTTTGCAGCGAGAAAGGCTGCAATGTGGTAGTGATTTGAAAAATGAGTAACAGACTCAGCTGCGGTTTGATGAGACTCCCTAAGATTTAACAGTGAAAGGCTGAAGCTTCATGATGGATTTACCTTGGGGCAGTGAGGGGGATGAATGGGACAGTGGTGCTGCCTGGGGTCACAGGCACTGGGCAGTCAGCCTGGGCTGCACCCGGCACTGCACAGCGCCCAGGCAGTGGTGGCTGCCTTGTCCCATGCCTCGGCGTGGGCTGCGCTTGGCACTACTTGCCACTGTGTTTCCACTCCTGGAGAGAAGCACAGGAGCCCTACCTGAGCCTTCCTGGCTCACAGGCCATGGGCACTGGCATGTGGCGGAGCCGCACCTGCCCTGCAGCTCAGCTGTCCCCTCTGCAAATTCCCTGGAGACCCTGTGTCGGGACAGGGCAGGGAAGGAGGGTGGGGGTAAGTTTGGACTGGGTTTACCTGCTCCGTTGCCCCTAAAGTGCCTAAATCCTGCATGACAAAAAAAATTGAGAGGTCTCCTGAGGGTTGTGCAGATGTATGAGTGAGAGACAGACCAGCCAGGAACCGCTGCTGGGATGTTCATGGAAAACCAGGATCAGGGGCTGACAATGGCGGTGAGGAAGGTGGAGGGATGCAAGGGGCAGTGCCGGAGGGCTCTGGAGCAGCTGGAGCTGGGGAGCATCGCAGCTGGGGGGGCCTAGGGAGGGCCCGGGGAGGGGAGGAGACAGGTGGGCAGACAGGGCTGCGACGAGCAGGGCCGGGGAGCTGCTAGCAGGAGCATG